GATGCAGGCTGCCAGCAATACAGCCGGCCATATTAAATGTACCCTGGACTTGGCCTGGGCCCAGAGCCCGCGGCCTCCGGAGCCTTGGGCAGCCAGCCGTGGGGATTACGGGCAGTGAGGTGCCTGCAGGGGCTCTGGCAGCGGAGCCACACGGGTCTGGGGTGCCACATGGGTGACAAGCCCCTGTCCCAGGGAAGTGGGAGGTACCCCTTCAGGGACCGACCCCAATTCCTGCCCGATACCTTGAGCTTTTTGCCCTTGTAAGGATTCTTCACATGCTCTTCGGCGTCCATAATGAGCTCCGTGAGGGTCCGAAACTTCCTCACCTGTGGGGTAACGAAGGGCCACAGATGTGAACAGGCTGCACGCAGAGGACAGGGCAGATCCCCGCTTGGCCCCAAGCCACGCTCGGCATGGCATAAACCCACAGGGTTTCGTAACGCCACCACGCAAGCGACCCGTCCCAGCACCTCCGAAGGGTTCGCGACGCCAAGGGCAGCCGGGATGGTGTCGGCACTCAGGGCCGAGGACTCGAGGCGCTGAACTTGAGCGATTCGAACAGCCCTGGGAGGTCACCACGACACTCGGCCCCACTCGCAGAGACCCCTCCACGCCCCATGCAGCTGCTGGTTACCTCGTTAGAAATCTCCATCCACTTCATCTTGCACATCTCCCCCGAGAAGTCCTTGAAAGCCACTTTCTCCCAGTCCAGGTGGGACTCGGTGGTTTTGAACTTGCTCCCGTCGTTGGAGGGCAGGTTATTCTTCATGCACTCCAGCAGAGTCAGCATGTCCTCCTGAGACCAGCGGTCTGAGCGGCAAAGAAACAGGCTCAGCAGCAGCGACCGGCAGGCAGCCTTCCCGGCAGGACACGGGGACTACAGCTCCCGGCGTGCCGCTCTGGACCGCGTGCCAGGACACGTAATCTCCACATGCTCCCTCTCGAGATTAAAGATCAAAGGGACATGTCCGTTTCCATCACCCTCGAGCAACTTTCTACGGGCCAAAACAATCCAGGCAAAGCGAGAAAATCCACTCGGTGCAAACCAGAGAGACTTGCTCATCCCAGCGCACCATCAGATAAGGGGATGGCCCTGCCGCGCCGGAGCAGAGGGCTATTTCCCATGCATGGGAGCGAAGCCCTGCGGAACGAGACGGGAGGGACAGGCTCTGCCGCCAAGGAGGAAACAGGGAAACGCACTTGCGAAGTGGAAAAGACGCGTCCAGAGCAATGGGAACCCCCCCAGCGCGGCCCTTCCTTCAGCTCGCGGCGCCTTGCCATCACCTGGGACCTAGCTCCATGTTGACCTCTGCCAAGGTCAAAGCTCAGAGGCCACAAAGCTGGGGGGCGGGGGGGCAGAGCCCAGCACAGCCCCCCCGTCTGGCAGTGGGGTCTCTGCCGGGGCAAGGGGGGTGGTTATGCCACCCCAACGTCCCCCAAGCCGCCGGGAGGAGCAGCAGCTCCCGCAGGGACACGCGGCCGGGAGGGGCGGCAGCCTCCGGCCGGGGGCGGGCGC